AACTGGCATCATGCATGAGCTGTAGAGGGAATGCCATTTAGAGGATCCCACGTTAGGAATAAGCCGCCTTGTGTCTCGGATATTTAATCCAACGAGACTTGCACGTTTATATTTCCTGTACCATCCAAAGGGGTAGTGCACGAGGTAAGGTAGGATCCAAAGATGGCAAAGCGATTTTTGCACATTAGAATATGGGCATCTAACAATCATCTTTTGGCCATTTTAAGTAAAATTGGTAAAAATTTCCCTTGCATAAAGGACATTAATTTGAAGAAATTCACAAATGATTTCTCATTGTTGAGACGATAAATATAGAGGCCAGATCTTGATTTTAGAAGGCTCATAGACTACTGCATCGCAATAAATTTTTGAAACTACCATAGGGGAGATAATTCCATTGATTTTTTAATAAACCATCAATTCCATTCAGTTCATTTGGTCAAATTATTTATCAATTTCATTTTGTCAATTCATTCATTTTAGGACAATTTAGTCAATAAATGATCAATTCCATTCCATCCATTGGACTATTTTATTCGTCAATTTCATCCAGTCCATTTTATCAATTTGTACATTTTTAGGGCAATCTAGTCGATTTTGAATAGATCACTAATTTCATTCAATTCATTTGATTAGTTCGCCCATTCTTAGGGCAATCTTATCGATTTTGAATAAATCATCAATTTCGTCCGATCCATTTGACCAATTTGCCTAGTTTTAGGGCAATTCGGTCGATTTTGAATAAATCATCATTTCACTCGATCTGTTTGATCAATTGATTTCATGCAATTCATTTGATTAGTTTAATTCATTTTTTTTAGGGTTATCCATTCAATTTTGAATAAATAATCAGATTTTGCATTTGACCATGTTACCCTTTTTAAAGGTGATCTAGTCAATTTTGAATAAATCATCAATTTCATTCAATCCCTTTGACCTGTCTTTTCCCTTTTTGGGTTTAAGTCTAAGTTTTACTGAATAAATTAGTCGAAACATGTAATCCTTTTAAGAGTATAATTTTTCACACATCATTGGTGTGTCGATCAAAACAGGCGATCCAGTCGGACTTTGTCCTCATTTTTGGGACAAATGTCCCATTTTCACTCCAATTGGACAATTTTTATTTTTAATTATTTTTCACTCAAATAAGTTGATTGGATCCATCAGGTATTGTATAGTGCCTGCTCTGGAGGATTGCATTTTCATGCTAGGCCTACCCTTGGCACAAAAAGGGCTCCCCCATAGGACATGCATCCGAATTACTTTATGTGAGAACCCGTAATTTGCATTTTCTCGGTTTCCGCATTTTTCATGGCTTGTTTTCTGCACTTTCTGTATCCGGAAAATTTTCTAGATAAATTTTATGAGTAAATATAGTTTTTAGATGATTTTTCTAGTATCGAATAGATTTTGAGAAACTAAGAGCGTATTTTGGACGTGGGACCCACTAGTGCGAAAAGTTCAGAAAATTTCGGCCAACTAGATTAAGTTTTGAATACTGGAATTATTTTACCGGGTGTTAGGAGATAAGTAGAGGGTGCTAAGTGGATTGATGTGAGAGGGAACAAAGTGATAGACTTGCATTAAATAGGTGACATGTGTCACCATATGATTAAATCTTGTTTTGACTTACTATTCAACCTTTTACCAATTACTAAATAAAACCAAAAATTGACCAAAAATCTTCCATTTTTCTCCAAGCTTGGCCGAATCTCTCTCCAAGAAAGAAAGAAAGAAAACCTCTTCAACTTCTTGATTCTCTCCTGCTCAAATCCAAGAACTCAACCATCTAAACTTGTTTTTGTTCCATAGAAACACTTAAGGGAGTGATAGTGAGTTGTTTTGTGGAGTTGTTTGGAAAGCTAAGAGGACCTATTGCTCCCTCTCTCTTGTTTTAAAGGTAAGTTGTGAAGAACCACCCTCCTCCTTTAATTGATGCTTAAAGCATGCTTAGTGGTAGTATGAGATGCAAGTTTATGGATTATTTCTTGATTTTTGGTTGAATTGATGAAGTTTTATTATTTTTGGGGATTTTTCTGTTTTAAGATGAACATGATTGTGTGGCTATCTATGATGATTGGAAATGGCATATAATGATTCTAGAAGGTGGAAAAAGTGATTAATTGCAATCAATTTCTGTTTTGGAAGAAAATTGAAAAACCTAGGGTTCTTAAGGGAGCATTCTGTCCGAATTTTTAGGTCCTAGATAGAGGCCGAATTGGCCTTAGCTCAAAACATGAAAGTTGTATGGAATGACATTTTAGAGGTGCCTACAAAAGTTTAGGTCAATCGGAGTAGTGTAGAATGAGATAAGTCGAAATTACTATTGCTGTTCTGGTTTTACCCGAAATTGAGAACTGCGCCTGAAATTGGTTGTTTTGGCTGGAATTGCTTCCGAATTGGTTGTTGAGACCTTCTGATGAAATTTAGCCCTGTTTCGTAGCTTTCATCTCGTTTTGGAATTTCTGGATTTGGACTTGTAGTGCCTGAGTTATGATGTTTCCACTAGAATGCGTTTTGGTGAATCTGGTTTACGTTGTTGATGAAGTATCTTGCATTTTTGACCTATTTGTACTCAAAAATGGGTTGAGTGACCTTCTGTGATGTTGTAGCCCTGTCTTTTAGCTTCGAAATGGTGGGTCTTGTACCCTCATCCGACAATCGTAGTGTCTTTGGTACCAAAACCGTAAAATGACGTCAAAAACTGTTTTCTTGGGTTAAAGCTTATTTCCATTTTCGGATTTTTCTGGTTTCCTTTAATGCTTATATATTCTTATGGAACCTTATTTTGGTAATACTTGGCCTTGGTTTATGACTTGTAAACGAATCTTATTGTGTTTATTTGAATAGTTTTAAGGCTTGTTTTCATTCCGATCATTTCCTAGCTAACTTTTGTACTTGTACTACTTTGAGCCTAGTGAACGGCTTTTGGGAAATGAGATGACTTTTGTGTGAGATGTTGGGACTGATTAGAGGTAATAGTGAAGCCTTAAGGGCTGGAAAAGTAAGAAATTTAGGGGAAGTGCTGCCCGATTTTCTAGGCCGTTTGGTTCCTTTAAGTTGGATTTGCCTTTTGGTAGAAATGAAAGGCTTTTGGGCTGTTTGCGCCTAAGTCTTCATGTTACCTTTTTGTTTCCAAGAAAATCATGTTTTTGCACCCTTGCATTAGTATTTATTTGGCAAGGCATACGACGTGTAGTCGAGCCTCACTTGTGCATTCCGTTTGCTCGATTTGGATATGAAACCTTCAATTGGTTTATTTTGATTATTTTAGGGTTTCTTGGCGATTAAGGCCAATCTGAAGTAAAAACTTTTGAGGTATCTGTACTTGAACCGGTGAGTGTACCACTCCCCTCCATTGCTGTTTAACTTGATTTCTGCTCTGCAATCTGTTTAATTTGTTTGAGACGAGGGTGTACTTTATCACACTCGTTCTCTTGTCTGTTCATATGCCAATTTTGGTGTCAATCTGAATCTGTATCTGTATCTGATATCTGTATCTGTATCTGTTCGGACGTCGTTTGGAAACTTGTAACCAACGACCTTTCTGTGACCTATGAGCTCAAATCCTGTGGCTAAGTTATTCGAGTCGGGCCGGCAAGGGCCTGGACGATTAGATAACGAACCACGGTAGTCTGTTTTGGGATCTTTGGGTATTGAGACCCTTGATTCCGGTATACTCGAGTATTACCAATTCTGTTTCTGTTGAGGTGAGCGGGCCCGGTAAAGGGGTGTTTGGTGGACGGAATTTGGTGTAAAGTGGGGTCTACGGACGCGTTGGTTCTATATACGTTGACGGAAAGTCAACCGGCTTGGATCAAGTACTGCGCTGGAAAGCTGGCTCCTGAGAGCCACCTGTATCCTTCCTATTTAAGTCCTTGTGTTTACCTGTCTTACTTTATAGCGGGCATATATATCTGATTTGTATAACGTGTAATGCCATGATTTTTCTGCTATATGTCTGGTACCTCATTGAGCGCAAGCTCACCCCTTTCTGTTCCTTTTGTTTTCCTTACAGGAAAATAAATACTTTTGGACTGGATTTGATAATTGGTTGCCGAATTGAGCTAGTTGGACATATCTTTTGTATAGCTCATTGATTTAAACCCTAAATGTACTTTTGGATCCGTTTCTCTGTTGGATTTGGCAAACCATACATGTATCCACTTTTGAATCACTTTGGTATGCCCTTTGGGTTGTATATGCTAAATTTTGAGATGTAAATATTTGCTTGACGTTTGGTTGGGTTTTGCCATGTCGGTTCCTATTCATGGCCGACTCCGATTTCGTTTTGTTTTATTTTGAGATTTTGACTTGTCTATGCGCGTTGTATGGTCCGGAACGTATTTGGTCGCTCTAATCTGAACCGTTAGTCCTGGCGAGAGCTGGGCAGGCGGTCCGCCGAGCCCTTTGGTTCGCCTTAGGGTGAGGTGGGGCTGTCACACTTTAATTTTTACTAACTCGTGTCTTTTTCTCTTTCTTTTTCTTTCGTTTAACAGCAGTTAAGCCAGAAAGGGAGTCTAAATAGGGATTTTTCCCAAATTTTCAGGTGTTTTTCAAATATAGCTACACAAAAAGCCCCATCATTAGACGATCTCGCAGTCGGGTTTTGAGAAACTGTGTAAACATGGGTACACACTCGGAATCATCCGACAGGCCTGTAACGGCCCCGTTAGCTGATTTGGCAAACCGAGGAGCTCAACTGAGCGAAGTTTTGAATAAATTCAATGAACTGAATATGGAAATGACCACACAACGGCGCGTGATCGACCAGTTGGTTGCTGGTAGTGGTAGCGGAGCCTTTACCTACTAACCAACCTGAACCACAACCAATACTTTTACCCTATACTCAAACCCCCTTTACCCCGCATTTTGCAAATCCGCATGAAAAAACTTTTATCTATCCCACTCATGGCCTACCCCATACCCAGGCACCCGCTATCCAAACCAATCCTCCTCACCCCCAAATTCCCTAAAATTATCCACACACTAGTCCGAATATGCCACTCGAACTTCAGGGACCACATTATTACTCCATCGCTGAGCCATTTAACATGGATACCGCCACCCAAGGGAAAGCAGGAGCTGGGGAGTCGTCCGCGTCGATAGATAAGAATTTGCTAAAGCGATTGGATCGGTTTGAGGAGTTCATAAGGAAAAGCCAAGGTTTGAACAAACAAGGAGGTCTGGACTACAACGAGCTGTGCCTATTTTCGGATATGCAATTGCCCATGGGTTTCAAAACGCCCAAGTTTAGCAAGTATGACGGAACAGGCAACCCCAAGACGCATCTCCGAATGTTCGCTAACAAGTTGGGCAAGCCAATAGATGACGAGAATCTACCAGTTCGTTTGTTTCCTGAAAGCTTAGAAGGCGATGCACTGGACTGGTATTCCAATTTGAAGGCTGAGGATATGAGGACATGGATGGACTTATCAACCGCTTTTGTAAGGCAATACGAATACAATTGCGAGCTGGCTCCAACGAGGACCATATTGGAGGGAACCAAGAGGAAACCATCCGAGGACCACAAGACATACGCGAAGAGATGGAGGAAATTGGCCGCCAAGGTGGAGCCTCCCATGACTGAAGATGAGATTGTTCGTGCGTTCATCAAAGCTCATGACCCGCCCTATTTTTGAGGAGATTTTTCGCATGACCGGGTGTCCATTTGCAGCAATTATCAATAAGTTGGAGGAATATGACGAATACGTCAAAGCAGGGAAAATTGTCAATGTATCAGCTTTAAAATCACAGTTGGACGCCTTGCAAGGTCAGAGTAATAACGGAAGGGAGCCTCAACATAAGAAGAAAGAGGAGGAAACTACTTTTGTATGGGGCAAAGGACCATTGCCAAAACCCAGATCCCAACGTTACCACACATGTTCATCTCGCTACCCAAACCCACGCCTTGTTTACCATACTACTACCAATCACCCTTGACCTCAGCCAAACTATGCAAGCCCACCTACAATGCCCTTCCCAATATCTCAAAGCAATCCTCAAATTCGACTTCGTCTACCTTATAATCCCAGACCTACTCCACCAAACCAACAGACTTACGACCCTCCTCAAACCAATAAAATACAAAAACCTGGTCGATCTCGAACTTTTACCAACTTAGGCCGACCCATTGACCAACTATACGAACAGCTCAAGGCCGCCGGTGAAATCGATGACATACCTCCTCCAAACTACTCCCGTCGAGGTCTCTCTGCTGGGTACGACCCTCAAGCCGCTTGTGCCTACCATTCTGGAGCCCCCGGTCACTCGACCAGTAATTGTTGGGTACTAAAACATAAGATCCAGGACATGGTCGAAGCAGGAGATATAGTGTTAAGGAAAAGGGAAGAACAAGGGCCGAGCATAAGTATGAATCCCTTTCCTGAACACAAGGACACCTTTGAGGCATTCACCCCCCAATGAAGAAATTTGAAAATCCTGGAAATTGCTGAATTAGTGAGATTTCTCCCTCTTGAAGGGAAGTTTCGATAAATTTGGGGAGTTGTTTTGGTTAAAACCAATGAAAATCGTTCATACATGTGCCTTTTGTTTAACTATGTTTTTTGTAAATAGTTTTCAATCAAGTGATCACTAAAGACACGTTTCATGATATTAAGTTTGTTTTTGTCTGGAAATTCAATAAAATGTACAGTTTTATATTGTGACTTATACATTCTTTTCAGATGGCCCAGAATAAAACCGTCTGACCCTTTGGATATCACCGTTCAGAAATTTGATGGCAGCGATCTCACGAATGTGAATTTGAATTGCAAAATGAGGGGAGTGGCGAAGAGACATCCGAAAATGTTTCAAAGAAGCCCGAATGGAATAAAAAAAAGAGAGAGAAAAAAAAAGAAAGTTCAAGCCGAATCGGGATCAAGATTAGGAACAAGAAGCAGTTAAACACAGTCCATCATGGCCAATATGATCAAAAGGATTGCTCCGTGATCACCATTAAAGGGTCAAATCATGACCATTCAGACGAGGAAGCAAAGTATTAAGGCGGTTTTCGTCAGTACAAAATGAAGCCAAAAGAAGAGTTCGCCGCGAATTGGCAAGGTGCTCTTATTATCAAAAAGATATTGCTTGGTGGAGCACTTGTTCCCTCAGCCAATCAATTCGGAGATGTGTAAGAAATTTTCATCTGATAAATGGAAGTTTCTTTTTAAGGTTAATGCAAAGAATGGAATGAAAGTTAGGCTCTCTTCCTTTCCAATTAAACATTTTATCCCTAGTTGTCCCTTTTGAACCTTCAGAATAAATCATTTCGTTTGATAACCCCTGAGAATCGCAAACCCCACACTGGGGTAAGTTTGAGCCGAAAGAAAGGGAAAGAAAAGAAAAAGAGTGAACCTCAATTAAAAAAATAAACTGGGGCAAATTTTGAAAACTTCAATGAAATGGCAGAAGGCCGAAAACGAAAAAGGAAGAAAAGAAAAATGAAAAAGAGAGCCTCAATCGAGAATAAACTGGGGCAAGTTTTGATTTAACCCTAAAATAGGGTTAGCGCAGCAATGCGATCTCAGATCATTTAAACCATTCATAAAATCTGCCTTCAAGCCTTAACCTTTTCTTATCACCCCGCCAGACCCCATTACAAAAGCCAAAAGTCCTGACTTCCGTTCTTTGCACCACCTCTTTAAGGAAATTTTCTTAATCAAATGACAAATGATATCATACATCTTCGCCAATTTGCAAGGGAAGGTTTGTCGTACTGATGCCATCATTTCTTAAACACATTTTGAGTTGATGAAGGCTATCGGCAGGATTGGTTCATTAGTGAAAACTGGAGTACTACCCAAGAAGAAAAAGGAAAAGAAAAAGAAAAAAAGAAAGGGAAGAAAAATAAAAAGGTGAGGATAGCCTTAGTGAAAACCCAAAAGGGCACTAGGGTAGGATTTTGTAAGGAGAAGTAAGCTTGGATTTGAAAGGCTAGTGACTCAGTTCGTTGAAATTTCTATTCACCTTGTGGTTCGGTTGCCGACATTGAATTTTGGAAGGATGATATCCAAAGAGTCAACGGTGATAATTTGTTTAAGATTAAAGGTTTTTGGATTACCCAATACAAATTGTTAAATTTACAGATTCATTTTTCTTAAATTAATTTTTGTTTTCAAATCACGGAGATTTTCATCTTTGATTGTGTGAATATAATATTCTTTCATTTGTTTCATGGTCTCATCTATCTTTTGGATTTATCCAATGGCAATCCCTTTGATTTATTGGAATTACCTGGATACCAAGGGTCTTGTTAGCATTGGAAGTCAAGAAGATGGAACGTGATTCGAGGAGCGAAGTTGGGTCGACAACTTAACAAATGGCAACCCATATGATTGACTGGATACCAAGGGTCTTGTTAGCATTGGAAGTTGAGGAATCTTGACACAGTTCACAGAGCAAAGTGAAGTTTTCGCTATATCGGAAAAACGTCCAAGTACTCATGTTTACACATTTCTTGAAAAGTAAGATGGATCGGATGGTGGTGGCATTATCTATCATTACCATTATTTTTACTTTTTGTAGGTCCAATGGTCCAATAACAACACACTGGGGCAATTTTTATATGACTGTGGAGTATCACCCAAGAATTGAAAGGTTCGGACCAAAGAAGAGATGAATCAAAGTTTTGAGGAGGAGCAACCCTGCCATAATGCAAATCAAATGATCGGTTGCACAATAAGTGGTGGAGACTGGGGAAAAATTATTCCTTGAAAAGTTTCTCCCAAACTAAAAGGGAAAAAATGGAAAAATCAAAAATTAGGTTTAACTTCTTATTTCTTGAAGAAATCAATTTCAATCACAAATTTTAATTTCTTGTTGGCAAGTCTCAGCGTTCGCCGCGCACCCTTCTACCTCCTTTCTTGACAACCATATTGAATTCACTGACTTCAACCACCGTTAGCATCGAGTCTATCTCACTAACGTGTGCGTTTTTTATTCAACCACCGTTAGCATCGAGTCTATCTCACTAACGTGTGCATTTTTATTCTACCACCGTTAGCATTGAGTCTATCTCACGAACGTGTGCGTTTTGTTCAACCACCGTTAGCATCGAGTCTATCTCACTAACGTGTGCGCATTATTCTACCACCGTTAGCATCGAGTCTATCTCACTAACGTGTGCGTTTTTATTCTACCACCGTTAGCATCGAGTCTATCTCACTAACGTGTGCATTTTGTTCAACCACCGTTAGCATCGAGTCTATCTCACTAACGTGTGCGTTTCTATTCTACCACCGTTAGCATCGAGTCTATCTCACTAACATGTGCGTTTCTATTCTACCACCGTTAGCATCGAGTCTATCTCACTAACGTGTGCGTTTCTATTCTACCACCGTTAGCATCGAGTCTATCTCACTAACGTGTGCGTTTTTATTCTACCACCGTTAGTATCGAGTCTATCTCACTAACGTGTGCGCTTTATTCTACCACCGTTAGCATCGAGTCTATCTCACTAACGTGTGCATTTTTATTCTACCACCGTTAGCATCGAGTCTATCTCACTAATGTGTAAGCTTTATTCTACCACCGTTAGCATCGAGTCTATCTCACTAACGTGTGCGTTTTTGTTCAACCACCGTTAGCATCGAGTCTATCTCACTAACGTGTGCGTTTTTATTCTACCACCGTTAGCATCGAGTCTATCTCACTAACGTGTGCGCTTTATTCTACCACCGTTAGCATCGAGTCTATCTCACTAACGTGTGCGTTTTTATTCTACCACCGTTAGCATCGAGTCTATCTCACTAACGTGTGCATTTTGTTCAACCACCGTTAGCATCGAGTCTATCTCACTAACGTGTGCGTTTCTATTCTACCACCGTTAGCATCGAGTCTATCTCACTAACATGTGCGTTTCTATTCTACCACCGTTAGCATCGAGTCTATCTCACTAACGTGTGCGTTTCTATTCTACCACCGTTAGCATCGAGTCTATCTCACTAACGTGTGCGTTTTTATTCTACCACCGTTAGCATCGAGTCTATCTCACTAACGTGTGCGTTTCTATTCTACCACCGTTAGCATCGAGTCTATCTCACTAACGTGTGCGTTTTTATTCTACCACCGTTAGTATCGAGTCTATCTCACTAACGTGTGCGCTTTATTCTACCACCGTTAGCATCGAGTCTATCTCACTAACGTGTGCATTTTTATTCTACCACCGTTAGCATCGAGTCTATCTCACTAATGTGTAAGCTTTATTCTACCACCGTTAGCATCGAGTCTATCTCACTAACGTGTGCGTTTTTGTTCAACCACCGTTAGCATCGAGTCTATCTCACTAACGTGTGCGTTTTTATTCTACCACCGTTAGCATCGAGTCTATCTCACTAACGTGTGCGCTTTATTCTACCACCGTTAGCATCGAGTCTATCTCACTAACGTGTGCGTTTTTATTCTACCACCGTTAGCATCGAGTCTATCTCACTAACGTGTGCGTTTTGTTCAACCACCGTTAGCATCGAGTCTATCTCACTAACGTGTGCATTTTTATTCTACCACCGTTAGTATCGAGTTTATCTCACTAACGTGTGTGTTGTTTTTAGTCTATCTCCGTTAGCATCGGGTTCATCCCACTAACGTGCCTTTCTATTTCCGATTCTCAAGGCAGGCTCGGGTGTTGATCCCACTGACCAAT